GAATGCAGCTGCCTTTTGCACATTTTATACCCTGAGACTTTGCCAAAGTCCTTTCTCAGTGCAAGGTTTTTGACAGATTCCCTTGGATTTTTGAGGTATAGGATCATATCACCTGCAAGGGATAACTTAACTTCCTCTTTTCCTATTTGGATACCCTTGATTTCCTTCTCCTGTCTAATTGCTCTAGCTAAGACTTTCAGCACAATGTTGAGCAGGAGAGGTGAAAGTGGGCATCCTTGTCTTGTTCTGATTTTTAGGGAAATGCTTCTAATTTCTGTCTGTTCAGCAGTATGTTGACTGTGAGTTTATCATAGATGGCTCTTACTATTTTGAAGTATATTCTTTCTGTGCCTAGGTGTTCAAGGGTTTAATCAAGAAGGGTGCTGGATTTTATCAAAAGCTTTTTCTGCATCTAATGATAGAATCATATGATTCTTGTTTTTACATTTGTTGATATATTTAATTACGTTTATGGTCTTGCAGATACTGAACCAACCCTGCATCCTGGGGATAAGGCCTACTTGGTCATGATAAATATTTTTGAGATGTGTTGTTGGATCCAGTTTGCTAGAATCTTGTTGAGAATTTTTGCATCTATGTTCATCAAGGATATTGGCCTATAGTTTTCTTTCTTTGTTGGCTCTTTACCTGGTTTGGGTATCAGTGTGATGTTAGCATCACAAAATGATTTGGAGAGAGTGCTGTCTTTTATTTCTTAACTCAACAGATGTATATTGAGCACCTTCTACTTGTTGGACACTATTCTAGGACCTGGGGTTTGTCATCAACAAAACAGATCAAAATCCACATCCACAGAGAGCTTGCATTTTCCCAGAGAGAGGGAGATCATAAATCATAAATACACAGTCCTGGGGCAGGAGGTGCTGTGGAGAAGCACAGAGTAGGGCATGGGCAATCAGAGCGATGTGACCAGGGTGGCCTCCTTGAGAGGTGTCTGGGCAGGCTCCACAGAAGCGGGGCTGGGACTGGAGCAAGCCCTGAGCATGTGAGGACGGAAGGGTCCTGCGGAGCTGGGGCTGGTGGGCAGCGGAGTGACTGCTGGTTGACCCTTTTGTCTGACAGGCATGGTTAGTACTGGGTGTCTTGCTGGGTTAGCTGAGAAACGTTAGCATCATGGTGAACAAGATTCTGACCAGATGTTTCTAAGCAAGGAAGGAGTCACTGGCTTCTGGAAGTCATTTGGAAAACACTTTTGTTTCCACAAACACATGGCTTTCACACGAAGCTCCCCTACTTTGCCACGTCACGTTCTGTTTTATTAAAGGTAACCCAAGTATGGCTAGAGCACCACTCCACCCACCTGTCAGTGCCCTGCTGCCGGCATTCCATTCCTGTCCATGCCCAGCCACGAGATGCTCGTTCTTTCAGCCTTGTGAAGGCAGCAAGAGGCAACACAAGAAAAGGGCTTGGAAAAGAAACCATCAAGAGAGCGGAGAGACAGTCCACAGAATGGGAAATATTTGCCAACTGTTTATCTGACAGAGGCCTAACATCCAGGATCTACAAGGAACTCAAACATGCTGAAAGGAAAAAAACAAACAGCCCCATTATAAAGTGGACAAAAGATATGAATAGAATACTTCTCAAAAGAAGATATACAGGCAGCCAATAGACACATGAAAAAATGCTCAGTCTCACTAATCATAAGAGAAATGCAAATCAAAACCACACTGAGATACCACCACACCCCAGTAAGAATGAGCATCATTAATAAAACAAACATGCATGTGCAGTGTCTCAAACCTGTAATCCCAGCACTTTGGGAGGCCGAGGTAAGAGGATTGCCTGAGCCCACAGGTTTGAGAACAGCCTGAGCAACTTGGCGAAACCTCATCTCTACAATAAACTGAAAAATAAAATTAGCTGGGTTTGATAGCACATGCCTGTAGTTCCAGCTACTTGGAAGGCTGAGGCAGAAGAATTGCCTGAGCCCAGCAGGTTGACGCTGGGGTGACTGTGAGCATGCTGCTGCGCTCCAACCTGGGTGCCGGAGTAAGACTCCAACTCAAAAAAAATAATAATAAAGTAAAAAATAAAACAAACAACAGATGCTGGTAAAGATGCAGAGAAAAAGGAACACTTCTGCACTGTTGGTGGGAATGCAAACTAGTGCAACCTCTTTGGAAATAGTGTGGTGATTTCTAAAAGAACTAGACATTGACGTTCAATATGCCCCAGCAATCCCCCTACTGGGAATATACCTGGAAGAACTCAAATCACTCTACCAAAAAGATACCTGCACATGCATGTTTATTGCAGCACTATTCACAATAGCAAAAGCATGGAAGCAACTATGCTGCCCATCAGAACTGGACTGGATAAAAAAAAAAAGTGGTACATTTACACAATGGAATATTATACAGCCATAAAGAAGGACAAACATATGGACTTTGCAGCATCTTTGATGGATTTAGACTCTGTCATACTCAGTGATCTATTACAGAAACAAAGAACAGAGTACTGTATGTTCTTACTCTAAGTGGACCCTGGACATTTACCATAATACAATAAGAAAAGAATTGGCAGTAGCAGGATACTGCTGGCGTGGAGGTGGGGACACAACATCAATAAGGGTACCTGGCAAAAGGAGGCCCAACTTTACCTGTATGATGACCACTTGTATACCTAATCCTGAATTGTACCCCACATTTTAAAAACAAAATTTAAAATTTTTTTTAAAAAGAAAGAAAAGGAATAGGGCTTAGAAGGAGGGGTCTAGCCCTCCCAGCACCTGCCTCCCAGAATGCCAGGACCTCAGGTGTAGAAGGAATTTGGCTCTTACATTTGTAAGTTGTTAAAATAGATGGTTTGGGCAAGAGTGCAGTGTATTTTTGAGGGAGCTGGTGAGTTTTGAAAGCAACTTCCCTGTCTCTTTGCAAGATGCATTATCATATTGTGGGAAATGATGGAGGAGACCTAAGATGGGACATCTATGTGGAATATCCCACAGTCTGGAGGTGGCTTCAGTAGGGCATCCAGGCAGTGAGGTTTCCTTGAGGCTGCTGAGACCTCGCTGACAGCCCCTCCCTTCCTTGCCAAGGTACATGGGAGTGCAGGGCTGGCCGGGGGCTGCTGACAGGGCTGGGAGAGGTGCAGGCTGAGCCTGAGAGACAGGAAGAGCATCCCTGCTCGGCTGTCCAGCAGAGACTTTGGAGAGAAGGGTTGCAAGGAACTGGGCAAAAACTTTTGCAGGAAAACTTAGGGTGTACAAGTTGATCTTGACCCTGCCCAGTATTCAGAATGCATTTTCTTGGCCAGGCATAGTGGCTCATGCCTGTAATCCCAGTGCTTTGGGAGGCAAAAGCAGGAGAATTGCTTCAGCCCAGGAGTTTGAGACCAGCTTGGGCAACATAGTGAGATCCCATCTCTACATGCACACGCACACACTATATATATGTGTGTGTGTGTGTGTGTATTTTATATATATATATATAGTGTGTGTGTATAGATATATATATAATATACGTGTGTGTGTATGTGTGTGTGTGTATGTTTTCTTGTTATAAAAGTACACAATCTTTGTACAATATCCAGAAAATAGAAACCAGCCTTTATACCACCATCTGGAAACATTTAATTTGTGCCACAGATAAGTATTAGCAAATATGTAGAAGGATTAGTCTGCTTGTTAATGTGTATTTATTGCATGGTATACTTTTTATTAAAGCTCACGTTTCTTCAGGATCTTTGTGTAGCTCCTTCATGTTCCTGTGTGTTTTCTTTTTTTTTTTTTTTTTGAGTTGGAGTCTCACTCTCGCCCAGATTGGAGTGCAGTGGCCGCTTCTGGCCACCACAGCCTCAACCTGCTAGGCTCCAGTGATCCTTTCACCTAGCCTTCCAAGTAGCTGGAACTACAGGTGCGCACTACCATGCCCGGCTGATTTTTTGATTTATTGTAGAGATGAGGTCTTGCCAAGTTGCCCATGCGGGTCTCGAACCCGCGGGCTCAGGCAATGCACTCACCTCAGCCTCCCAAAGGCGCGGGATTACAGGCTGAGCCACCGAGCCCGGCTGCTCCTGTGTATTTCCATTGACTTCCTCTCAAGGTCTCAGTGGACCGAGCTGCTCAGTCTGGGGTCTTTGTGGCTCATTTCTAGGATCTGCTTATTTCACCTGTTGGTGGGAACTTGCAGGTGGGAGCAGCCATCCTTGCACAGTAACTTGTGACCAGGTGTGGTAGCAGATCCTGCCCAGACAGGAGCATAGGAGACCCCACCAGTTCAGTGTCCCATCTGCCAGCCCTGTCCCCGGGCACATTGGAACCTGCCTGACCCTGAGCCTCCTGACGTATGGGCTGGAGTGCTGGATCTCCACCACACTCTACCCACAGGCTTGGTCCACAGCAGGCTCCCCCCAAGGCTATGCGGTGCAAATCACTGGGTCAGGGTGTTGCTGGAAGCCAGGCGTCTCAGGGACTGTGGGACACTCTCATGGGATTTACCAGGTAGAGAGAGCACTTGTGGTCTGGAAGCACATCAGATGCCGTAATGGCTACCGTTTGAATGAGGGACACTGCTCCGACCACAGGCCTACTGCTGTGCTGTCACAGTTGGACAGAACCATCCTGAATTGCATTGTTGGGGCTGTCGTCTGGCAGAAGTTAACTAGGAAGTAAAAGTGGCTGGGAATAGCTGTTGCTTCAGCCAGAATATCAGATGACGCAGAGAATTCAAAGTTATGACACAGCAGAGTATTGTGTGCATTATCGCAAACCTTGAAAATACAGCTAATTAAGTATCCCTTCTAGAAAGTTTTTTGGAATAGGAATGGTAGCAGCAGTGTTTGGTAAAGTAGAGGTGCACGTCGGATCATGTTTGGTTCGTGTCCCATCCCAGTGTCGGGAAGGATTCTTGTGTGTTGCCTAAAACTAAAAGATAATGTGTCTCACAGGCACGTTTGCCTTCCCAGAGCTGTTGGTCATTTCCTTGCCGGGATGATGTGATGGCACTCTACTGACTTCATTTTTTTTTTCCCAACAGAATTTTTCTTTTCTAAAATGGAGTCCAGTAAAAAGATGGACTCCCCCGGCGCACTGCAGACCAATCCACCGCTAAAGCTGCACCCTGACCGCAGCACTGGGGCATCAGTTTTCGTCCCTGACCAAGGAGGTTACAAAGAAAAGTTTGTGAAGACCGTGGAGGACAAGTACAAGTGTGAGAAGTGCCGCCTGGTATTGTGTAACCCAAAGCAGACAGAGTGTGGGCACCGGTTCTGTGAGACCTGCATGGCCACTCTGCTGAGGTGGGTGCCCTTGCTTGAGTGGTCGTGGTCATTCCCTTCCCCTTTTCCAGGCCTTACCCTTCCACCCACTCACTGTTTGTTTCTCTAGAAAATAAGCCTGTAAAGCTTAAAGCCCTCAAGAAGTGCATAAGCCTCAGAGCCCAGCTTGTGCATCGTTTAGGGAAATGCAGTGGAACAACTGAGTTTATTGAGGCCTCTGCATGTCTCTCACCTGAGCCCTGGATCACTCCGTTCCATGTCCTCCTCTCCTGCAGACTTCTGTTTCTCTCCTCCCCCAAGCAGCTCCTGAGTTTCCTTGAAGGTATCAGTCACTCTGTCCGTGGACCTTGGTGTTCCCTATATTTGTTCCTGTAGTATGCTCTAAGAGCTCGCAGTTTCACAAAGGAAACACACCAGCAAATGATAAAACAAGTCATTGAAGTACAAGTGCTTTGGTGTGCCAGGTGCCGCCCAGGGCTGAGGCAGAGCAGAGTCAGTGGCAAGGACTGGACAAGCCCTGGCTGAAAAGCAATCTGCAGGTGTTTTCTGTTGACTAGGCCTCGTGCTGGGCACTGGAGTTGCTGCAGGACACCCTGAGCTTGGTGGCCGCCATCAGGGCTTGGCTTGGGAAGGGTGCCAGTTCCCCCTCCTGATGCACCAGTTGAGCCTGGCTGCCCCCAAGCCCCAGGTCCAGAATAGCAGCCAGCCTTCCTTTCTTTTAGCCCTGCCCTCCTGACAGCACTGCCCTCTGTGGTCTTTCCTGCCGCTCCCAAACAGTCAGCTCACTTTTGCCTGCTTGTGGATACAGTAGCACTTGAGTTGAGCTCAGTGACAGCACTGTAGACTCAGAGCACCGTTGTCCCTTGACAGGGAGAGCCTGGACTTCTGTGGGGGAGGGGCAGGGCCTTGGGTATATGGTAGACCACAGGGGAGGGGGCTGGGCCCCAGTGCAGTAACAGCGGCCTTTCAGTGTCCAGTGAAGAAAAATAGCTTGTGGGAGAAAAGACTGGCTGTTTTAAAAAGCAAGAGTGTTTCAAGGCTCTCCTAATAAGCTGTGCATGCTCCCACTGAAGAGCTCCTCTACAGATATCTGGTTTTGGTTTCTGAAATAAAATTTCACTTCTATGTCCATTGAGAGGGGCTTTCCAAGTGGAACTGAACTAAACTGTTCTACTCAATAGCTTCCTTTTGAGAAATTACCATTATAAAATGCAGCCCTTTTCTCCTATGGCTTCATATGAAACCAAATTCTCCATGGCTGTGAGCTGCAGGTAGACTTGGGTGAAATGAACGTTTCGAGGAGAAAGGTACTCCACTAATGCAGTCATATTTCCTCTCAGCTCCTCAAGTCCAAAGTGCACGGCGTGTCAAGAAAGCATCGTTAAGGATAAGGTACTCTTGGCTTTTTGATCAGTCGTTTTGTCAACTGTTTTAAGCTGGGTGATACTTTCCACGTAGTTTGCATTCAGCACTCTGGCACAAAATACCATCTCGGTTTTGGTGGCTGATGCCCGGGAGCTGAGGCAGGGCACTGTGCCAGGTGGGCACCTGGGCAGACAGCAGGGTCAGATCCACTCGGCCACTTCCTGCTGGATGAGCCTTCAGAGCTACTCCGCCTTCTCAGCCTGTCCCTCACCTGTAACAGTAACGGCATCACCTGGCACGACCTCGGGAGGTGGTTTGTGGAGTCAGGGAGTTGGGTGGTAGGCAAAGTGCTGAGACTTCTGTCCACGGCAGAGCTGCTGTGGTTGGGTTCCTTCTCCATCGAGGGTCTTTATTCCAACAGCTTCCATTCACCTCCAGACATGTATTAGTCCAGGGGGTTCATTTGAATTTGCCCTTCCTACCCTCCCACCCCTATAATATCTTGAAGCCAGTGGACATGAGTGAAATTAGTGCCTTTTCTCCCCCACACGGTTATGTGCACTGTGAGATCCCGTGGGTGTCACTGCATGCTCAGAGCAGGAGGGGCGCCCAAGCTCACTTGCCAGCATCTCTCCTGGGATCGGATCCCTTCTCATGGCGTCTCTGACAGGGGGTCATCCATGCACTGCTAAAGCCTGCCAGCCACACTTGTAGTTTGAAACAGTTCATTCTTAAAGTATTTAAAATATCAATAAAAAAAGTGTGGTTCTGATATTTTGATTAATGAACCTAACAGTTTTTAAGTGTAAGTCATTAAGTTGTACAATAAAATTCTTGCTCTGGGGCATTCCTGTCTGAAGCACTTTGCAGTTAGGGTTTGTTGGTCAGGGCAGCCTGGATGAGTGCAGGAATTTGAGGGTTCTAGCAGTCAGTGCCCCAGGGCTACCAGGGACAAGGGTGTCTGATGTAACCTGCTTTAGAAGGGTCAGTGATGGAACTGGTCACCTGACCCTGTACATTTTCTTCCTTGGCATTTTCCTGCTGCTGCTAAAGACTTCAGTTATTATTAAGAAAATCAATCACTCAGCTCTACTCGTTCTCTTAACATGGTACCATGTTAGCTTGTGAACATGTATATGACAAGTATGGTTGAGAAAGGAGGTTGAAATAGAGGACTAAGATGTCTCTTGTAGTATCTTTGGCTCATTATTCAGAATTATTGTCCCTGTTTTTCAGTGACATTGGTAGCTAAAGAAAAACGTAGTTTTGTTGAAGAGTTGTTAATGAGAGGGACTAAAGCTGTGGACTTTCATGGAAGGAGGAGCTATTGGGGCCCCGGGTGACCCAGCTCCACCCCTCAGCAGGTCACCAATAGATGTGGGGCCCCGAACCTCACCTATAAAAAGGGACATTTGGAATAAATAACCTGAGATCCTTTTCAACTCTGTACTTGTATTATCCTGGTGTTTTTCATCAGTGTTTTCTTATCTGTGAGGTTAAACAAATGACTTAAAAACCTAACAGGCAAGAAGGAAGCCTGTTTCCTACCAGTTAAAAATATCTGTTCTGTTGACTTTAGTATCATGTCATGACCTTAAAAAAAAAAAGTCTCATTGTCTGGGCACAGTGGCTCAATCCTGTAATCCTGAGGTGAGAAGACTGCGTGAACCTGTGGGTTCGAGATCAGCCTGGGCAACATGATGAGACTTGTCTCTATAATAAATAAAAAAATTAGCCAGGTGTGGTAGCGCATGCCTGTAGTTCCTGCTGCTTGGGAAGCTGAGGTGGAAGGATCACCAGAGCCCAGTAGGTTGATGCTGGGGCGGCCATGAGCATGCCACTACACTCCACCTGGACGACAGAGTAAGATTCAAAAAAAAAAAAAAAGTCATATTTATGAAGGATGACTTTGACTCCGAATTAGTTTTTTTAAAACTCTTACCAGCTGTTAGTTCTATTCTTTGCCCGTGGAGTTGAGAAAGGCACATTAAGTTCCTGCCTGTTTTTCTCTAACAAGTGGGATTTTCTCAGAAATGCCTGAGGACTGAGATGTTGTAGATTGTGTTGTTAGAAAGAGAATATTTGTTTAAGGGAAAAATGAAATTAAAGAAGGCCAGAAGATTTTCATTTTCAAAAGGAAACATTTTCATTATTAGATTAACCCAGTCTTTGTGATATATATTTAAGAATGTTGTCTGGGCTCGGTGGCTCAGCCCGTAATCCCAGCACTTTGGGAGGCCGAGGCAAGTAGACTGCCTGAGCCCAAGGGTTCGAGACCAGCCCGGGTGACTTGGCAAGACCTCATCTTTACAATACATCAAAAGATTAGCCGGCAAGGTAGCGCGCACCTATAGTTCCAGCTACTTGGAAGACTGAGGCAGAAGGATCGTCGGAGCCCAGCAGGTTGAGGCTGCAATGGTTGTGAGCATGCATGCCATTGCACTCCAGCCTGGGTGACAGAGTGAGACGCCAACTCAAAAAAAAAAAAAAAGAATGTTTTCCAGTAGCAGGCTTATGCTTCTTTTTTGATGAAAAATGAGGTATAACAGCATAACTTTAGAAGGAACCAAAAATTTTACAAATCATACTCAAAATATACTCTTTCAGTAAGTAGTTTGTCCATTTCTCTAGCAAGCTGTTAGAAAGTATGTCACATTGTGTTCGAGTCTGCCCTTGTCCTCTGGTAGAGAGCTGCACCTTGTGGCCCCCTGCCCAGTGCTGGCTCCTGGAGGTCTCCAGAGTCTGAATGTGAACTTGGCCCTCTTTTGCCCATATCCTGAGATTATATCATAGTTAACAAAAACTGTTTAGATGCTCCAGAGTGATCTTTAATTATTAAGTGTAATTCGTTTTATTTTGGCCTAACTAATGTTTTATTATTTAAATTGTGTCTCTTAATAGGGGCAGTTTCTTCATTCTACTTGTAGAAATTAATATGGTCCTTAGTGCTTTCTGAGGTCCACTTAAGAGTTGCTCTCATGATTTTTTTAAAAGTGGCTTTGCCTTGTCCAAAGCAGCATGTGGAGATTAAGAAATATTAATCCTTTGAAATAATGATCTTTTCATTTCAGGTGTTTAAGGATAATTGCTGCAAGAGAGAGATTCTAGCTCTTCAGATCTATTGTCGGAATGAAAGCAGAGGTTGTGCCGAGCAGTTAACACTGGGACATCTGCTGGTAAGTACCGAAGGGGCACTGGGGGCTTTCATGTTAAGGACTGTGCGTTCCTTGCCATGTCCAGCTGATGAACTCGTCATAGGATGTGGCACCTCAAGAGTGTGTTTACGAGAGGGGCAGGTCGGCTGGGGTCAGGTTCAGGGTCAGATGGACAGTTAAGACTTGGCTGGTGTGAGGAGGCCGGCTGCTGTGTCCTCAGCTCGTTCCTCCACTTGCAGGGACAGGCCCCTTTCCTCTCCCGCTCCTGGGGGAGGCCGTCGTGACTGTGGGGCCCTAGAGGGAGAGGAGATGTGCTGTGTCTTCCTCACCACCACCCAGCACCGGCCCCACCCACGTGCCCCAGACCATGCCTGAGGTAGAGGAGCTGGGCTTGCTCAGGCCCTGGAGCAAGTTCTGTCCCTGCTGCGGGTCCAGCTTGGCAGGGAAAGGGCACCTGGTGTACCCCCCATTTTCTTTACAGAACTCCAGGGATCTGTGGGGTACAGAGGGGTGCCAGCAGAGGCCGGAGGCAGCCAAATCCTGTCACTGAGCTCTGCTTGCTTTGACCTCTGAGTGTCGTCTAACTTATAAACGCCATGAGGGTGTCGGGGAGGTGACACAGCTGAGGACTGAGGCGTTAGCTGGTCCTCAATGAAGGTCTGCCTGCCCTAGCCTGGGGTTGTGGCCACCAAGGGGAATTGTGGGGTGGGAATGCTCACACTTTCCAGTCGGGGTCATGGCCCAGGAGAAGGAGGTTGCCCACTATGATGAGCAAAGCCTTGGCCGGGGTCACAGCCACGTTGAACTTCTGGAAGGAAGAAGCGGTGGGTCATGGCAGTGAAGGGCCCCAAGGAAGTTCGAAGAACTCCTGCCACCCACCAGCCCTTGAACCTTGGGGTTCTTGAGGAAACCCATGTTGAAGTCCAGGTCCAGCTGCACAAAGCTCTGGCTGCTTCGCACGGTGGAGATGAGGATGACGATGATGCTTTTGTTCTTGGCCTTGGAATTCGAATTTCCCAGGGGCCCACCTAGCGGGAGAGAGGCGGGGCCTGAGACCAGGGGTGTCCAGGCACCATGGAGACTTGCCCCGCCCTGGGGAGCCTGCTCCGAGGAGGGTGCAGAGAGGTCACCGGGCCACAGAGTGAGTGTCGTGACTGGAAGTGAGAACAGGAGGTGGGCCTGGAGGCTGAAAGCCCACGATGAAGTCAGCTGAGGGAGCGGGGCCTAGAAAGTGTTTCTAAGCCAGGAAAGAGCACTGCGAAGAACATGGTAACTGGGAGCGCTGACTTCCAAAGTTGCCTGAAAATAATCACTGAGTACTTGTTAAGAATATACAACCCGAGCCGGGCTCGGTGGCTTAGCCTGTAATCCCGTGCTTTGGGAGGCTGAGGTGAGTGGATTGCCTGAGCTCGCGGGTTCGAGACCTGCCTGGGCAGTGAGACCTCATCTCTACAATAAATCAAAAAAATCAGCTGGGCTTGGTAGCGCATGCCTGTAATTCTGGCTTCTCGGAAGGCTGAGGCGGAAGGATTGCTGGAGCCCAGCAGGCGAGGTTGCGGTGGCCGGGAGCGGCCACTGCACTCCAGTCTGGGCGACCGAGTGAGACTCCAACTCAAAAAAAAAAAAAAGAATATACAACCCTGGGCCCTAGCCCAGACCTCTAGGGTAGAGTTTCCCAGGGAGAGGCCATGGAGTCTCAGGGCGGTGGCGTCCAACCCTGGCTGCCTGTTAGAATGACCTGAGGAGCTGAAAAAAATACCAGTGCCCTGGCTCTGACTCTAGATAGCTGTGTTAGTCCTGGGCTGGCAGTATTAAAAGCTCTCCAGGTGATTTTTGTCTGTAACCGGTGCTGAGAACCAAAATCTTAGAGAAGGAGTCGAGCTATTGGGGGTGGGGGCAGGGTGAAAATGTCACAAGAGAGGCTACAGAGTGAAAAAAAGAAAATAGAAAAAGACTGTGTTTACGTCATTCCTTCAAAATACAACCACGTATGAAAATAGTCAGGACAACTGAGTAGGCGATGCTATTCTTATGACATCATTGGCAGGATTGTTAACTGGCTAGTAAACATCCTCACCCTATTTGGAATTAGATTTTAATTTTAGAAGGCCCACTGAAACCTTTTTTCACCATGAAATTCTTCATAACTTATGTTTTTTGATTAGTACCATATTTTACCTTGGAAAGTTATTTGAATTGGAATAAAATAAAGTTCTTTTTTTTTTTTGAGTTGGAGTCTCACTCTGTCGCCCAGACTGGAGTGCAGTGGCATGCTCCCGGCCACTGCAGCCTTGACCTGCTGGGCTCAGGTGATTCTCCCGCCTCAGCCTTCCAAGTAACCGGAACTACAGGTGCGCGCTATTGCGCCTGGCTAATTTTTTATTTATTGTAGAGATGAGGTCTTGCCAAGTTGCCCAGGCAGGTCTCGAACCCGCAGGCTCAGGCAATCCACTCGCCTTGGCCTTCCAAAGTGCTGGGATTACGGGCAAAATAAAGTTCTTAGCAGGTATTCATATATCTACTAACCTAAGAGGAAGAGTTGGCTTAATTTTTCAACAGCAATATAGTTTTAGTAATCACCGAATAGAATATGAGATTCGGCGTCTCTTGGTATATTTGTCATTCTTTGCACAGAGGTTAGAATCTGGTATTTCAGATTGAATTTTTTTTCAGTTAAGAACTTTCAATGGTTTGTCTTACAGGTGCATTTAAAAAATGATTGCCAATTTGAAGAACTTCCATGTGTACGTGCCGACTGCAAAGAAAAAGTTTTGAGAAAAGACTTGCGTGATCATGTGGAAAAGGCCTGTAAATACCGGGAGGCCACTTGCAACCACTGCAAAAGTCAAGTTCCAATGATCACATTGCAGGTGCAGTATTTTCCTGTTTCACATACCTTTTGTGCAATTCAGATGTGGTTTCTCCACTGAATAGGTTTCTAAGTGACTTTTCTACCAAGAATAAAGAGAAAAGATGGGAGTAAATATCAGTTTTCATTTGACTTTTTTTCACATTAAGCTGTATTTGTTTTGTCTATTTTGATTTATGTAATAGACATTTTCCATTGCCGTGATTGGATATCATTTAGGATGTTAAAAAAATAAAGAATTATTACTTTAAAAAGGTAGAGTATTTAACTTGTTCCAGGGAATGTCCTCATGATGTTGATGGATTGCTTGATCTTTTTTTTTGAGTTGGAGTCTCACTCTGTCACCCAGGCTGGAGTGCAGTGGCACACTCACGGCCCACCCCAGTGTCGACCTGCTGGGCTCCAGTGATCCTTTCACCTCAGCTGGAACTACAGGCACATGCTACCTTGCCCAGCTAATTTTTTGATTTATTGTAGAGACGAGGTCTCGCCAAGTTGCCCGGGCTAGTCTCAAACCCCCGGGCTCAGGCAATCCACTCACCTCGGTCTCCCAAAATGCTGGGATTACAGGCAGAGCCACCGAGCCTGGCTGCAAAAACTGTTTTTAAACTCTTTTAACAGTATTGATGCTAAGAGCGCACTTTAAGTCACTGTGCTGCTGTCTCTCGAAACTGTGCTAGTTATGACAAGAATGTATGTATGTTTGAGGCTCCTGCCGGTGCATCCTCTCCCTGATTCTGGACAGCCTGACAAGGCAGAACAGTTGCACATTCACTTCCTTCCACTCTAAGGATGGCTTTGGGACCCTCTCTCTTCAGTGACATGATGTGATTCCCATGTCTTTTGTTCTTTCAGCTTTAGCACACTTAGTCTCCTCACCTCAGATCTTAAGTTTATTTTTAAGACAATCAGCCATCTAACATGGGGAGGCCTGACGCCCAAGTCTGGCTTTGCTATGTGCCCTCTGTCTTGTGGTGGGTCACAGACATCAAATATCAATGAAATGTGCCTTGGTAAAGTATTGGAACTCTGGGCCATTGCAGTTCATCTGACAATTTATTCTCTTTGTTTACTCTGTGGTATACACATTGTATTAACCGATTTTAAGTTGCATTATTATTATTATTATTGTTTGAATTGGAGTCTCACTCCATCGCCCAGACTGGAGTGCAGTGGCACGCTCATGGCCACCCCAGCGTCAACCTGCTGGGCTCTGGTGATCCTTCCGCCTCAGTCTTCCAAGTAACCAGAACTACAGGGATGCACCACGACGCCCTGCTAATTTTCTTATTTATAGTAGAGATGAGGCCTTACCCTGTTGCCCAGGCTGGTTTTGAACCCACGGACTCAGGCAATCTTCTTGCCTCGGCCTCCCAAAGTGCTGGGATTACAGGTTTAAGCCACCACACCCTGCCACTATTTTTTTAAACCTGTAGGTCAGCATAATTTAAAGTATTAGAAAAACTGTCTTTTACATTTAGTCTAGAAATGGACAAATATTAGTTTCTTTAAACAATTCTGTTAACTTGTGAGAATTAGGATTATAAAGATCTTACTCTGTAGAAGATGTGTGTGGTATATATGGGTGTAGTCCCTTTGGAAAGTGGTTGGCAGTATGCCTCTAGGTAGATATGTAGGTTTTCAGTGAACCCGCAGTTCCTATCTTAGATATCCCGGAGAAACGGTTGCACTTACACACCAGAAACTGTGCGCAAGCATAACAGAGCAGCAGAAATCTGGAGTCAAACTAAGCCTGTATCGACAGAAGCGTTTACAGATTAGTGTGGGAGCCCAGTGGACACATGCGAGATGTTACACAGCAGTGGGGTGTGCCGTGCAGTGGTCAGGGTTGAGGACCTGCAGCTGCTGGCAGCTCACAGAGTCATTAAGGAGCGTGACACTGAGCCAAGCTGCAGAGACTCCTTTGGTAGAATTTCTTGTTAATAAAATCCAAAACTAGTCACAGTGAAACAATATCTTGTTTGCACACATATGTGCAATGAAACATTTTGAGCATTAGAAATACACAATTTAGGATGTTGATTTTTGTGGTTGCTCCTTGGGGGAAAATGAGGATGAAGCAAGAGAGGCACGGTGGGCAGGTGAAAATGAGCAACTATGTTCCTGGGCCTGGGTGGTGGCTTCCTGGGGGTGACTGTGTAACTATTTACAGCTCATTTGTGCACGGACATGCTTGGCATGTGCATCAGAATTACATCTAATTTAACAGCAGGACTGATTTCATTAATATGCAGAGAGTTCTTACAAATCAACAGAAGATTAACAGATTGTTTTAACGAGTGTGTGGTTTTCCTTTGGCTGCTGTAACAAAGTCCACAAAGTTGGTGAATGAAGACAGCTGAAATGTATTCTCTCACAGTTTTGAGTCTCGAGATCCCCAGCCAAGAGGGCCCTGCCCTCTCTGATACCTCTCAGAAAGAATCCTTCCTTGCCCTTTCCAGCTTCTGGCAGCCACCAGCAATCCTTGGTGTTCCTTGGCCTGTGGCTGCATTGCTCCAGTCTTTCCCTCCTTGTTCACGTGGCTGCCTTTCTGATGCATGTCCTTGCCTTTTCTAAGGGCACCAGTCATTAGATTGCAGGCCCACCCTAATCCAGTGTGTCTTCATCTTAACTAAGTGTATCTGCAAAGATCTTGTCTGCAAATAATGTCATATTCTTTAATTTTTTTAATTAAAATTTTTTTTTTATTTTAAAGATGTGGGGTACGATTCAGGATTAGGTATACAAATGGTCATCATACAGGTAAAGTTTAGGCCTCCCTTTGGTCCCCACTTCACCTGCTATCCCTTTCCCCTTCCCAGCAGTATCCCGCTACTGCCAATCCTTTTCTTATTGTATTTGGTAAGTGTTCAGGGTCCACTCATGAGTGAGACCATGTGGTACTCAGTCCTTTGTTTCTCTGATAGATCACTGAGTATGATAGACTCTAAATCCATCCAAGTTGCTGTGAAGTCCATAATTTTGTTCTTCTTTAGGGCTGCATAATATTTCATTGTGTATATGTACCACACATTTTCTATCCAGTCCAGTTTCAGTGGGCAGCACAGTTGGTTCCATGTTTTTGCTGTTGTGAATAGTGCTGCAATAAACATGCATGTGCAGGTATCTTTTTTTGTAGAGTGATTTAAGTTCCTCTGGGTATATTCCCAGAAGGGGGATTGCTGGGTCATATGGAAGGTCAATTTCTTGTTCTTTTAGGAATCGCTACAATGTTTTCCATAGAGGTTGAACTAGTTTGCATGTCTTTTGCCCACTTTTAAATGGGACTGTTTGTTTTTTTCCTTTTGGCCCATTTGAGTTCCTTGTAGATCCTGGATGTTAGGCCTTTGTCAGATATGCAGTTGGCAAATCTTTTTTCCCATTCTGTGGGCATCTCCCTGCTCTCTTCATGGTTTCTTTTGCTTTGCAGAAGCTTTTCAGTTTGATGAGGTCCTACTTGTCAATCTTACCTCTTAGGTATGGCATGAACTTTTGGGGTTTTGATCAGGAATTGGTTGCTTATTCCAATTTCCGTAAGGATGTCTCCTGCATTTTCTAAGATTCTTAATGTTTGAGGTTTTATGTTTAGGTCTTTGATTCATTTAGAGTTGATTTTTGTGTATGGTGATCGGTGGGGGTCCTATTTCATTCTTCTGCACATGGTCAGCTAGTTTTCCCAGCACCATTTATTGAATTAGGTTCTCCTCTTCCCAGTGGTTGTTTTTGGAGGCTTTGTCGAAGATGAGTTGGTTAAGAAACTGAGGTTTTGCTTCCGGAATCTCCATCCTGTTCTGTTGGCCTTGTATGCCTGTTCTTGTACCAACACCAGGCTGTTTTGATTATTGTAGCCTTATCATAAAGTTTAAAGTCTGAAAATGTGATGCTTCCCGCTTTGTTTATTTTGCTAAGGATTGTTTTGGCTATTTGTGATTGTTTATGTTTCCATGTAAATTTCTGTTTTGTTTCCAGGTCTGAGAATGATGTTGGTAATTTGATGGGTATAGCATTGAATCTGTAGATTGTCTTTGGTAGGATCCACACCTTAACAATGTTGGTTCTTCCAATCCATGAACTTGGACTATTTTTCCATTTGTGACATCTTTGACTTCTTTGAGCAGTGTTTTGTAGTTTTTGTTGTAAAGATCTTTCACTTCTCTGGTTAGGAAGGTGCCAAGGTATTGCATTTTTTTGTGTGTATGGCTGTTGTAAATGAGATTGTGCTTTTTATTTGGTTCTCTGCTTGTTTGTTGTTGGTGTATAAGAATGCAACTGTCTTTTGAACATTTATTTTGTACCTTGGGACTTTTCCAAAGTCTTTTATCAGTGAAAGGAGGTTTTTGACAGATTCTCTTGGATTTCTGAGGTATAGGATCATATTGTCAGCAAAGAGGGATAACCTGACTTCTTCTTTTCCTATTTGGATACCCCTGATTTCCTTCTCTCATCTGCTTGTTCTAGATAGGACTTCCAACACTATGTTGAACAGGAGAGGTGAGAGTGGGCAGCCTTGTCTTGTTCCGATTTTCAGGCAAAATGCTTCCAGTTTCTATCTAGCAAAACATTGGCTATGGGTTTATCATAGATGGCGCTTACTATTTTGAGGTATGTTCCCTCTATGCCTTGGTGTTTACGGGTTTTTATCAAGAAGGGATGCTGAATTATCAAAGACTTTTTCCGCATCTAATGATATAATCATGTGGTTCTTGTTTTTACATCTGTTGATGTTTATTTTTTTTTTTTTTGAGTTGGAGTCTCACTCTGTTGCCCAGACTGGAGTGCAGTGGCCGCTCCCAGCCACCGCAGCCTTGACCTGCTGGGCTCTAGCGATCCTTCCGCCTCAGGCTTCCAAGTAGCTGGAACTACAGGTGCGCGCTACCACGCCTGGCTATTTTTGATTTATAGTGGACATGAGGTCTTGCCAAGTTGCCCAGGCAGGTCTCGAACCCAGGCTCAGGTAATCCACTCACCTCGGCCTCCCAAAGTGCTGGGATTACAGGATGAGCCACCGAGCCCGGCCTGTTGATGTATTAAATTACATTTATGGTCTTGTGGTTGTTGAACCAGCCCTGCATGCCGGGGATGAAGCCTACTTGATCATAGTGGATGATTTTTGAGATGTATTGTTGAATCCCAGTTTGCTAGAATCTTGTTGAAAATTTTTGCATCTATATTCATCAGGGATATTGGCCTGTAGTTCTCTTTCTTTGTTGGATCTTTATCCGGTTTGGGTATCAATGTGACGTTAGCTTCATAAAATGATTTGGGGAGCATTTCATCTTTCTCAATTGCCTGGAATACTTTCAATAGGATTGATATTATTAGCTTCTCCTTTTATGTTTTGTGGAATCTGCTGGAAATCCGTCTGGCCCAGGGCTTTTCTTTTGTAGGTAGTTTTTTTTTATGACAGAGTTAATTTCCTGGGTTGTTATTGGTCTATTTAGGATCTCAGTTTCTTCTTGTTTCAACCTTGGGAGGTTGTGTGATGTCAGAAAGTCCTATATTTCCAAATAAGGTCATGTTCTGAGATTCCAGGTAGGCGTTAACTTGGGGGAACATTATTCAACCCACTGTAGTGGGCAAAAGCTGTGAAAAGGCAGTTCACAGGAAAAGAAATATAAAACATCAGTAAATATCAGAAGTGCTTGACCGCACACTCCTAAAGAATTGCTAGTTCCACTCCTGTACTTTCCATACATCAGACTGTCAGAGACTCAGAAGGGTGGTGGAGCTGGCGAGGGTGTGGACACACTCATGTCCACACTAACGGGCATGTCCACTGGTACAGGGTTATTAGAAGTTGCGCCTACACAGACGTTGCTGGGTCTTCCCTGCGGGCCCCCAGCTTCACCTCCCAACACCCCTGCCCAGTCCCAGTGCTGCCCCATCCCTCCCCTCCTCCTCAGACTCCCTTCTGGAACGCTCTGCCTGCTCCTCCACAGCTCACTGCGCTTCCCTCTCCCTGGTGCAGAGTGATGCCTGCCTCCCAGCTGACTTTGCCTGCTGACCCCAGCCCTGGCCGGCGTCTGGCAGGTGAATGGAGGTGGAGTGGGGGGGCACGGCATCTGCTTCCAAGCCTGCGCTTAGCTCTCCCTCTAGGCCTGTGGCCTCGGTTAGCCCTCAGCACCCCCAGCAGTGAGAGTCGGCTACTCCCCATTTATACAAGAGGGATCAAGGACGGGGAAGTGAGGCCACTTGTGCAAGGTTTTCCCCTTAAAAGATAAAACATTGACTTTGTGGTACCTGGGAACTCTGAACTGAGCCCAGCCAGGCAGGACAAAGGTCTGTGTCCAATGCCCTAATGTCCCCGTGTGCTGTATCCCATGAGGGAGGCTAGTGGTCAGGCCGGGCCCAGTCCAATGCCTGCTGCTCAGCTTGGGATGGCAGTGGATCTGCCCTCCTTGTGTGCTGTGGGCCTCTGAAGACTGAGCCCAAGAGTAGACACCTTCCAGGTGTCGCTTCTGTGCTGCAGACCCAGAGTGTGCCCATAGAGCTGAGGCCTTAAAAACACACCAGAGAAAGCAACACTCTGCGAAGGGGAGGAGTACCTCATGTCTCAAGGATGCACTTCCCCAAGCGGGTCATGCCATCCTTGGTCTTGCTCCTGCCTAGTCAGGTGGAGGCTCTCGCCAAGAGCCTCCTCCAGTCAGTCAACTAAATAGCAACATGGCTGTGGTGGCCCAGAGAGAACCTGAGGGCTGGATGAGGAGTATTGAGGTGTCCCAGTCCATGGGGGAAGCCGCTGCCAAGGCTGTTGCTGGGCCAGCAGTAGTTATAGTAGCACACAGCGCCATCTCTGGGTCTGCCTACATTAGTCTGGTGGCGCTGTCCAGGGCCTATGGGTTTGATGTCCTTGTGAGGAGTTCATGTCCTCATTCCACTGGTAGACAGGAACCCAGCAGGTGCCCATAGTGCTGGGTTTCGCAGTTGCCATCATCAGTCTCTACAATAGTGAAATCTGTGCCACCAGGAAAGGGCTAACCCAAAATGTATCCCCATTTTCCGTGGGCTGTAGATAGTCTAGACTAAGATTTTAGGTCAGTAACTTAAATGCTCAGCAGATCATGCTGTTTTCACATATTTGAGAAGCATCATTTCCAGACTCCAAACTGAGAGGCCAAGGGAAACCCTGCTTCTCTGTGACTGGCAGAGCAGACCTTGGGCTGTGTCCCCAGCCCTACCAGTGACCTGCCTTGTGACCATGACGTGAGTAGCCAAGCTGATCTGAGTGTCACACTTCAGGAGCTGTGTGGACCAGAAGCTGCACCAGGCACAGAGGGGACACTGCTGAAGGGATGCTCCTGTTACGATGCCACCTCCCGTAGACTGTTCTCCCATAAGTTGCTCTGCCTAGTCTGATCTGACTGGATCTTCTGGGCTACCTGAGATATTCTGAGACACTTTCTGAATGTCACGATTCATCCACGTGTGATTTGAATGTTGAAACTTAGGACATGACAGTGATGAGCAAAGCCCCTCCTGGGATCCACGTGGGGTTGGGGACCTGAGGAAAACAGTTGTGTATTTCAAAGTTGACAACAATTTTGTTTCTCTGTAGAAACACCAAGACACCGAGTGTCCCTGTGTGGTGGTGTCCTGCCCTCATAAGTGCAGCGTCCAGACACTTCTGAGGAGTGAGGTAAGGGGTGCAGCCAGGAGTCTGTGGAGCCCTCGGGATTAGCATGCTTGGATCTATTCCCTCACGTTCCCATCTCATGGTGTTCATGTGTATGGCAGGAAAACAAATACAGGTGGTGCAAAACCTCATACTCTTTTTTGAAAGTCAGAAGCAAGCAGCTAAAAGCTACAAAATGGTAAATTCACAGCAAAAAAAATTGCCAAGAAATGAAAAAAATGGGCCAAGGTGAGAGGGGCACTTGAGGCCAGGTGTTTGAGACCAGCAAGGGCAAAACAATGAGACCCTGACTACAAAAAAAAAAAAAAAAATTAAGTAAATTAAAAAGTAAGAATTGAAAAATGGGAATATTTTGTCTGTAATGCAAGCAAAGATGATGCCTTACATTTTTTAAAAAGCTATTTTTAAGCCCATAGAATAGAAATTGCTGTAAGATATTCTTAAGAAAGTGAATTAAAGACATTTCAGAGCCATTTTGTCCCACACGCTGGGTGGGAGGCGGCCCTGGGTAGGAAGTGGGCACAGGTGTGGCTCCCACATTTCAGGGCCACCAGGAGGGCGTCCATGAGGCCTCCCCCAGAGCCTCTCACACCACCCTCTGCACCCTTTCTCTGAAACAGTTAGATTTTGCATTACCTTCATTTGATCAGGACATATCCAGGTGAAAAGATTCCAAGGATTCTTAAATGTTGTTGCCTCCAGTCCTGACCTGGAGCCTTTGGTTGCTATTCCAGGAGCCATCTGGGACTCCTCTGGGCTGAGGGGGGGTGTGGTACCCCTGATCCCTGGTGCTCTCATCTAAGGAGCCTGTTCACCTCAGCATCTTTTGGCACCCTGAAATTTTACCACTAGATTTTGTGGAAGGGAGAGAATCAACCTCACATGTCCCCAGCTGAGCAAGTGAGCCTGTGTGGGCCTAGGGCCAGGAATTCGGATGCAGGAGGACCAGAGAGCCATTGTCACCTGAGGCACGTCCTACCAGGGCCTTGCTGCCAGTGGGCGAAGGCAGGATCTTGCCTGGTGACAGTGGTCTCTGGGTCCTGAATGTGCTTCTGGACAGGGCTGGGGACAAAGCATGTCAGTCATCTCCACAACTGGACAGTTCCTCTGTTGAAGTTAACATGTGGAGTCTGCTGTTGAGGTAATTTTAAGAAAAAAAAAATCTTTAAGCCTGCATTTCTCTTGGGTTTCTGGTGAAAGGTGCTACTGGGCTGTAGATTATTCTTGCCTCCCTTCCAGCATTCATGTGAATTCTGGAAGACTCTGAGAATACTGATCATAAACCAGTTTTAAGAGAAAGTCCAACACTGAATTTATAGTATTACACTGAAAATAACATACATCAAGCTCTGTGTGTCCCTGGTCTTAACATTTCACGGTGTTAGCTGCTAAGCTTTAGTACTGCAGTTAGGACACTGGAAGAGCACATTCTACAACTTCACATTAGTGATGATATGTATCATCTTCAGGCTGGACTTCTACGCCAGTCACTTGTCACATGCCTTCCCCAGTTGCAGCCCAGACTGGGTTCTGAGGGACAGCAAGGACATTGGGCTGCCAGATCTCTAGTCATCTTGACTTTGCCCCCTCAAAGACCTTCCGTGAAGGTGGGCCTTGGCGGCAGCCACATGAGTCCCTCTTTCTTAGACATCACAACAGGCAGGAGAGCAGTCCAGGACCCATTTCCCCTTCTGCCTAAATGTCCATCTTAAAGAAAGGACAGCCCTTGTCCTGGTAGACTTAGGTGAAGTTGTAGACCTTACTGCTCCCTCCAGGAGGACACGGTCTATGATCCTTGGAGCACATGCACACTGGCACTCAGGAAGACACATCAGGTCCACTGCACACTGCCCTCACATACCCACTGTCCTGCACAAGGTCCGATTGTTCTCTGTGAGGAAGATCTAACTCTAGAGTTTCTTGGGGAGAATCTCTCCAATCGAAGATGAAACTACTCCTCAGTTGTATTAGCCTTACCCATAAAACTATGTCTTTAAGATAGAGACTTTTCAATTCCCTTTCTCTTGTTAGAGCATCATGAGTAATTTTTATTTGATGACTCACCAACATTTGAGCTGAACCAGGGGCTTTTTTCTTGTAAAATGAGTTATCTGCTCCCAGTCCCTCCCAATTTTCCTGCCATCAGTTGGAGGTGAAGTATTAAAAACTACAGAGTTTCTGGTCCATACAGAAGGGAAAAGTCTCTTCAGGTGAAGGAGAAGCTCATCTCGTTCTTTTGTGTGTTGTTATGAGTAACAGCACATTGTGTAAGCTGGCTTTGAAAATATATTTATTTCGTGTACCATATATTAGGTGTGTGACCCAGTTGCATTCTGAATGCTTTCTATTTTTTGTGTTTCATGCAATTTTTGTTTATAGTCTTTAAGTGTGCATTTCAGTTTATGTTTTTCTCTTTTCTTTTAAAAATTATGGCACTACAGACAGCATGTCACATTTTTGAACAATTTGTTCTAAAGAAACTGCAAGTTTAAGAAATGTTATAGTAAATGTATTTCTGTATATTGGCGTATATATGTGTATACATGTTACTATACCGAATATTTGCTGCATATAAATCTAGGAAGCAGATGATATATATACACACCTGTAGCTGATAAGACCCCATTCTTGCTAGTACCGCTCAGATGCTATCTGTGCCCTAATATGTTTGAACATTTTCATGCAAACGTTTGTGCCACAACTCACGTCTCTTTCCCGTTGCAGTTGAGTGCACACTTGTCAGAGTGTGTCAATGCCCCCAGCACCTGTAGTTTTAAGCGCTATGGCTGCGTTTTTCAGGTCAGTATCCGACATTTGTCCTTCCCAGTCACTGACATTCTGCCATGAGAGAAAGTTATTATATTAACATTTTAACATGCAAGTTCTGGACTCTTAGTCTTTGTCATGAAACCAAAACACCCTGTTGCATGGGTGATGAAAGCCACGTGCAGCAGGTGGGGTGCTCGCTTTCCAGGCGGTGGTATTTGGAGACTCAGGCAGACACTGTGCTAAGGTGGGCATAAAGACAGCAAGAGAGCCACTATGTCCAGAGCCAGCTAATGATGGGACAAACAGGAATGGCATTCGCTTAGCTTTCCAGAGAGATTGTTATGGAAGTCTTAGCTGTTACTTGGATATGAGTAAATATCAAACCAGACATAGTTTCAATAGTGTGTGCGTCAGTACACAGCTGTGAGGATCACACGTGTGTGTCCACAGATGCATTTTGTGTACATGTCTGTGCTGACAATGACCCCAGCTGGTGACAGATCCAAATCTAGCACAGCTCCTAGAAACCACCCCTCCCAGGAAGAGTGCAGGGAGCGCGGCTCCGTCACTGCCACACATGGCGTGAGAAGCTCGCATCCAGGTTTTTGTTGTTTATTTTTTAAACACATCTGAGATGGCTAGTGAATTGGAACTGAGTTTTCATTTTAATGTATATCTTAATTTTAAAACTAGCAAAAGGCAGCATATACTACAATTAAGGTATTTTGCATTTAATTTTATGTAGGACCCATACATTATTATGAAATCAGTACAGGATATCGGCAGCTTAGTATTTTCTGAGAATGCAAACAGCCTAAGAGTAAGAATGACTGTACCTTTCCTTTGCTTTAGTCTCCTACGAGACCGAGCCTCCCCCTGTTATGTTGTACGTAGTATCATTCATTCTCTCTGTGTATGTGTATATATATGTTTATATATTGTGATACTTATATCAACATATATATATGAATATTCTATGTACAGAGTATATGTTTTGGAGATCATTAAAATGCTGTCTGTTACTTCTCAGTTTTCCAATAGCAAAGAAAATTATATTTTCATACCAATTATTTCCTTAAACATATGAAGTACAATTTCATGTGCTTATTCCTGACCTAAAATGGTCTACATCTTATGTACTCTGTATATTGTTTATGTTTTGTATGTAACTTTCTAAGTATCCTAGAATGGTGAGGAGCAGTACTTTTCAGATACAGTGTAGTTGAACTAATACGTTACTACTTTAATATTTATTTAGAATCCTAGTTTGCGCATATGTTCACTAACTGTTGTGGCAGTATCCAGCTGCAGTTGCAGGTTTCTAAACATGTTCCATTCATGCAGTATCTGTAATGAGAAAACAGTTTTAGCAGAACAAGAATGAGTTTAAAGTTTCATTTGCTGATATTAAGCATGGAACCTTGACAAGAAGATGCTTGAGATGAGAAGCTCTAGAGAGGAGCATGGCTTGCGAGCCTTGCTGTGGCGTGGTGGCGTCGCCCTGCCCTCCCTTGGCCTCCTCTCTGTGCTCAGTAGCCAGGAGGCCCAAGCACAAGCTTCCGAGGCTCAAAGATTCCCCCCTCCCTGCTTAGTGCTGCTCTCATAGCCACAGTTTAGCCTGTTGTCCTTGGAGGTAGAGCCAGGTTGGCTTAATGCGTCACTTCTTCCTCTCACAGGGGACAAACCAGCAGATCAAGGCCCACGAGGCCAGCTCTGCCGTGCAGCACGTCAACCTGCTGAAGGAGTGGAGCAACTCCCTGGAGAAAAAGGTAGGCCACGCCCCTGCCCGGGCTCTTATGATCTCTTCAGGTTGTTTAACGGGGAAGGCCTTTTTACAGTTATTAAGGGGTTACAGTTATTAAAATAAACAGCATCAGCCAGGCACGGAGGCGAGAAGATTGTCTGAGCCCAGTAGGTTGAGGCCGCAGTGGCTGTGAGTGTGCCACTGCTCTCCAGCTTGGGCAACAGAGTGAGCCCCGACTCCAAAAAAAAAAAAAATGGCATCAAGAGATTGTCAGAAAAAGTAGATTCTCTTCATGTGATCTTGAGCTTATTATAAATGTTTGTTCCTTGTTTTTAAATTGTAAGCAAATGTGTAGTGCTTTTTTTTATTCCTTTAATCACTTTATGGTTATTTTAGCATTGGTCCAGTACAGAGATGATCAAACTTTCAGCTTCCCTTCCCCCTCCCCCATGGTTTTTTTTTGGTAATTAAAGTTTTATTGGAATGCAGCCACCCTCATCCATTTCCAAATTGTCTGTGGCTGCTTCTGCTCTTGAGCAGCAGAGTTGAGTCGAGGGCCCTGTGCACTGCAGAGCTCAAGATGCTTACTGTCTGGTTTTTCACAGAATAAGTTTGCCAGCCCTGATCTGGATGGTTACCAGTATTACATGCTTTACAGTTCTGTGTCTTTTGTAGGAGACAAAGAAGGAAAACATTTCCATATCACTGGTGTTTACAGTTGGTTTTCTCAGTTGACACTTTGTGATAATTTGATACACTATCTGCATAGACAGGACCACTTCCCAAACAGACTCCGTCTCTTCCAGTGCTAGTCTTAAGAGGACTCCATTGTAGGGCTGAAGACCTAGCAACAGGCTCCTTCCCATAATAATCCTTCTTCCCAGTGAAGTTTGTTCTGTGATGTTTGTTCTCAGTGGGGCCTTCTTTCCATGAAGGAAAGGTGAAAACCTCTAAGAATTGACACAGAAGGAGTTGTTACAGGATCTCCCATTGTAGCTTATTTACAAAAATAAAAACCTAATTACTGAATATTCAACAAACATCTATTGAGAACTTGCAGTAGAGAGTACTAAAATGAATTAGAACAGCCAGTGGTGTTGACATTTGAGCTTTGTAAAGATTTGAATGTCTTGTTTTTGGTGTTAAATCCAAGCAATTTTAAATGTAATTGTACTTGACTCTAAAATTTTAAATCAAAAGATTTCATTAAATCTGACATAAAATAGTTTGTTTTCATATAAATGTTTATGCTGAAATTGAGAAACAATAAAAGGATTGGTATATCATGTACCTGCACCTGTGGAACGAGAGGAGTTCCGTTTAGCAGTGAAGTGGAACTCAAGTCAGAGGAGTCTCTAGTGGTTTTCCCGTGAGCACGTCGCATTTGCTCTGAGTTCAGTGTTGGTTTATCTGTGAATCTTCTTTCCTCTCTTTTTGAAGAATGTGTTTTGTTTCTGCCTTTTCAAATGTATAGGTGTAGATCACAAGACTTCTTGTTTCTCTCATAGATACTGTGTCTCTCGTTTAAAAGACTCTGCCTTTCCTTTTAAGAATTAGTGTTGTTATACACCTGTGCTAATTATTTAACAGCCTGCTGGGTCTAAGGATGTACTTGTCCAGTGGGACAGTTAAGAACAGCTCTGTCACCAGGGTTACAGTGGCTCATGCCTGTAATCCCAGCACTTTGGGAGACAGAGGTGAGAGGAGTGCTTGAGCCCAGAGCAACTTGGCGAGACTTTGTCTCTACAATAAATCAAGAAAAATTAGCTGGGTGTGGTGGCACACACCTGTAGTTCCAGTTACTTGGAAGGCTGAGGCAGAAGGATCGCCTGAAGCTGCGGTGGCTGTGAGCGTGCTGCTGCACTCAGAGTGGAGGCTCGCCTACTGGAAACCCAGGACAGGGCCAAGCAGCCTACCCACGCTCAGGGCAGCAAGTCCGCGCTCTGTGAATGCCATGTGTGTTTAAGCTTCACTAGCTGTTTCTCGGTGGAAGCCCTGAGGCGCAGGATGCACTGCCGTGGTCTGCGCTGAGGTCTTTGAAAGATTTGCCCTCTTGGATGTGGCTCAAGGCTTGGTCTCTTCTCTGACTCTGTCCATCAGAATGGAAGCCCTCACCCTGGGCTGGAGACCAGCCCCTTAATGGATAGACAAAGACATCTGTGAGTAGACGGGAACATTTTCCAAGGGCCAGAATGCCCTTTATAGTAACCTTGTGAGGAAAGAAGCCTTGCAGGGGTTACTCTCAAACTCTTCATGGGGCAGGGAGGCTTTTAAGACTGTATACTACTTGGTCCTTGGGAGCTAATTATTTTTCAGAAAGAGATTTTGGAAAGGTCAAAGGTGGGCTTGGAAATGCTCACTCAACAGGCCCTGCCTCTGACTGATGTGGGCTGTGAATGGTTCTGCTCAGCTTTGGTAGAAGGGCATCCTCAGCACCATCTCTCTGTGTTAAAGGGGTTCATAGGCAGCCCCCAAACAAGCAGAAGTACCTGGGAAGTTTTTGTTACCATCGTGCCTATTCTCATGGTGTTGGGAGGGCTTTTCAAACTGTAGGGTGTGGCCCATTCAAACTGCAGGAAGTGAAATAGCTTAGTAGGTTGTGACTAGCATTTTTTAAAACTGACAGGTAATAATTGTATATATTTATGGAGTACAGTGTGATGTTTCAACATGTGTATATACATCATGGAATGATTAAATTGAACTAAGTAATATATCCATTATCTCACTTCATTTAAAATCAGCTCCCTTAGCAATTGTGAAGTATGCATTTCATAATTATTCATTGTAGTCACCATGCTGTGCAGTTGATTGCAAAACCTATTCCTTCTAACTGAAACTTTGTGTCCTTGACCAACATTCCCCAACCCACCCCTCCCAGATCCTCCCACCCGGCTGCCAGGCTCTAGTGCCACCATTACACTCTCTTTCACATCAAAATTAGATCAGTTGTGTTTGTCTTTCTGTGCTTGGTTTATTTCTCTTAACATAATGTCCTCGAGGGACTAGGTTTTGTTTTGTTTTGTTTTTTAATGAAATAGAGTAAAAGAAAATATCAGGATGTATTGTGAGTGAGTAGGGCAAGTATTGTTTAGTGAAAACTGTTTTTCAAATATACACACAAATGTTTTTATCAGTGGGGTAAAATATAAGAATGTTTCTTACTGTGTTTGAAATTTGAAACCTACTCTGGTAAAAGATTTATTAGTTTTCAGCAGAAACTTTTAAAAGTGTCCCATTGATTCTGAAATTCAGCCAGCTGCTGCACTTGGCCTCCCTTAATTACTGGGAAAGAGTCTGAGAAATGTAGTTTTTAGGATTCCCTATTGAATTTCCAGACTTCTGTTGTCTGTATGAAGAAATTTTTTTTCTTCTGGAATTCCTTTCAGTAAGCTAATAGAAGACCTATATTGTGAAATTTTAATTACCATCATTGTCATTATTGTTGATTAATATTAAAACTGCTAGCAGGGCTCGGTGGCTCAGCCTGTAATCCCACGCCTCTGGGAGGCTGAGGTGAGTGGATTGCCTGAGCCCGCGGGTTCGAGACCCGCCTGGGCAGGTGAGACCTCATCTCTACAATAAAATCAAAAAATTAGCCGGGCGTGGTAGCGCGCACCTGTAATTCCAGCTACTCGGAAGGCTGAGGCGGAAGGATCGCCGGAGCCCAGCAGGTCGAGGCTGTGGTGGCCGGGAGCGGCCACTGCACTCCAGTCTAGGCGACAGAGTGAGACTCCAACTCAAAAAAAAAAAAAAAAATTAAAACTGCTTTTTGTTACATTAATTAAAGAATTTCTTTTTTCAGGTTTCCTTGCTGCAGAATGAAAGTGTAGAGAAAAATAAGAGCATACAAAGTTTGCACAATCAGATATGTAGCTTCGAAATTGAAATTGAGAGACAAAAGGAAATGCTTCGAAATAATGAATCCAAGATACTTCATTTACAGGTAAGAAGCTTAGGACTGTGGCTGGACCAGTAGGGCACTCGTCATGTCTCCTTTGGGCTTTCCTAGTGAACTGCCATAGCTGAAGCCCTGACCTTGGCAAGAAGAGAGGCCACTGGGTTCCCACAGGGCCCCTGCCTGGGAGACTCAGGGCAGCTGTTCCCTCACAACCTCTTTCACCTCTTTCCATGCCTCTGGTCCACTATTGGAGAAGACTTATGGCCTGTATTTTTTAAATGAGCTGTTTTTGTGATTATTTAAGATTTTGTGTCGTTCACGAGTAGTTGTGTGCGAAGTTTCACTTCCTAAAGTGAAGTGAAGCCCGACCACTCTGCTCTGAGCTTCCTGGTGATGCATGCTCACCCTGCTGGATGTCACCATAGAGGTCCACGCAGTCTTCCAAAACAACAAGCCAGCACACCTTTGCTACTTGGAGTGAAGGTGATTCTGAAAATGGGCCCATGAAACTGCTGCTGAGGCCGGGCTCGGTGGCTCAGTCTGTAATCCCAGCACTTTGGGAGGATGAGGCGAGTGGATTGTCTGAGCCTGCGGGTTTGACACCCACCTGGGCAACTTGATGAGACCTCGCCTCTACAATAAATCAAAAAAAATTAGCCGGGCTTGGTGGCATGTGCCTGTAGTTCCGGCTACTTGGAAAGGTGAGGTGGAAGGATCACCGGAGCCCAGCGGGTCGAGGCTGTGGTGGCCGGGAGCGTGCCACTGCACTCCAGCCTGGGCGACAGAGTGGGACTCCGACTCAAAAAATTAAAAAAATTTAAAAAAAGAAAATGCTGCTGTTTGTCAGCATGGATCTCTGTCAGGTCCTGTCTGGAGATTGTCTCACAGGTGCCATCTGCACGTCAACCTGCTTGTCGTGTGTGTTTGTTATAGTGATCCCATGTGTGTCCTACACCATGCAGGAGCCACTCTGTGTCACTGGCATGATTTTTCAGTGCTTGCACTTAGGTGTGGCTCCCTGTGTTGTCTGGAAGAGAACCTGTTTCTATTGGTGCAGAGTCATGGCATCTTTGAGAATGCCTTTTCTCCCATTTTTGACACTGAAGATTAATCATGGTGCTTTGAATTTCAGAGGGATTTATTAAATTAATTTCATTTGTATTGCACTTATCCAAAGAAAAAGGAAAAAAACACAGTGACACATTAGATTGTATTAGAAAAGATACAAGTTCTTAGTACTGAATCAAGCCACAAAAAGGTCAAAGTCACATAAAATACCAACAAGCCTGCTGGAATCCCTTGGTGTTTTGCTGAGGGCATCCCAGTATGTTGGTCCAACTGTCCACCCCTGTGGGCCACCCTCCCTCGCCTGCATTTCTGGCTACTCATAGTGTGGCTGCTGGATCTAACCTGGGACTCAGAGAAGTGAGGGAAGGACCAAGGGCATTAACATCATACTAGGAAAATCACCCCTAAAAATGTCCACAGCAGAAGAAAGGGTGAATACAAAGTGGGTTCAAGTATAACAAAAAAGGAGACTGTACACAGTGAAATACAGATGCCCTGCCCAGACCTCAGACTTCCTGTACATTTGTCTCTTTCTCCATTTCCTCCTCTCCCAGCCAGACGAGTGTCGTCGACTTTGCTTCTTTGGTAGAGTTTAATCACTCTCCCGTGTGTTTTCTATTTTAAAGCATCTGTAATTGCCTAAACCAGTGAGGTGTAATTCAGAAAGAAAGGGGAAACCAAGTTGCTGAGCTGAGAGGTGAGGACTGAGTGGTACAGGAATCGTCAGGTCCCTTCTTTCCAGAACGAAAAGCTCCGTAGAGAAGAGGTTGTGTTTAAAGACTGGGACGCAGAGCAGGCAGGGTGCTGGCCATATCCTAGAGTGCAAGGACAGGGACTTCTTAGAAGGCAGGATGCTCCCGACAGTGTTTCCCCCTTAATGGCAGCGATCTGCATCGAAGGTTCTCCAACGTGTGGTCACGAAAGGTGAAGTTCTGTTTTCCCTTTGGATCACTGCGGGGTAGGCGTTCTTTGGCAAGGAGAGGTTCTGGAGTATCTGTTTTAGGACGTGCGGGTTGAAGCCTCCAGATGCCGGGAGGACCTAGCCGCGCGAGCCATGCTCGGCCATGCCGCGTCCTCCCTGCATCCCCACGCCTTCCTTCGCCTTCTGTAGCCAGAGTCCTGCCAGCCATGCTCCTCAGAATTTATTTCTCCCCTGAGAGCCCTTCGAGTCACCCTAGGAGGCTTTACCTTCAGCTCTTTACTGTGGCCCAGAAAACCCTGTGACTGGCCCCCAGTCAACTTCTCAGCCTTGCCCCACCCTCCACAGCGAAGCGGACCGTCTCTCTTTCCTTGAGAGGCTCCACGCTTCTGCACGGATGTCTGTGCCCTTTCCCGCACCATCCCTCCCTGGCCATCTCCAGCCCTTCTGCGGACACCTCAAGTATCAGTGTGAATGCCACCTCCTCCAGGAAGCTTGCCTGAGCCCACCGCCGCCTGCAGAGCTCCCCCAGTCCTGTGTAGGGACTCCCCAGTGGTGACAATATGTGTCACTCAGGGTCACCTCCTTCCTTGTCTGGCTATCTGGTGATGGTGGGCAGTAGGCTGTGGCTGCCTGAGGGCCGGGCCGTGGCGCATGAGATGCAGACAGTCGGTGTCCAGGGAGTGGGTTCAAGAGTGGTGGCCCAGGAGGGGTTGTTTCTTAACATTTTACTTCTTCAAGGTCTTGTTTTTCTTAATCAAAAAGACAGCTCAGGTGTGAGCTGGACTCGGGTCCCCGGTGTCCAGGGGCCTGGATGAGGTGGTGATTCTCACCGTCGGGGCTGGGTCAAAAGCGTATGGCACTCCATGCACACTGCCCCAGTTCTGGTTCCAGAGACCACTGGGCTTCTCACTGGACAGGTCTTGAAGCTCTGGCGGCCTGAGGGTGAGAAATGACTGCAAGCAATGTGACTACAGCCAGCCGGGCATGCAAGAGGTAGCCACGCCCTGATGGCAGGCCTCGTGGTGCTCTGAATTCTTCTTTCTAATACAATTCCACACCTGCATTTAAGATAATTTTTTTTTTTTTTCCTTTTTTTTTTGAGTTGGAGTCTCACTCTGTCACCCAGACTGGAGTGCAGTGGCTGCTCCCAACCACCACAGTCTCGACCTGCTGGGCTCAGGCAATCCTTCCGCCTCAGCCTTCCAAGTAGCTGGAACTACAGGCACACGCTACCACACCCAGCTAATTTTTGATTTATTGTAGAGATGAGGTCTCACCAAGTTGCCCAGGCGGGTCTCGAACCCGCAGGCTCAGGCAATCCGCTCACTGCAGCCTCCCAAAGCGTGGGATTACAGGCTGAGCCACCAAGCCTGGCTAGGTGTATTTTTATAGAACTGAGCAACTCAAGAATGAAATCACGTTTGCTACATTTCACAGAGAACGCTTGATTTAGATCTCCATTCTGCTTTGAAATGGTGCCATTTATACAAATGAAAGGCCTGTTTTAAAAATAGCGCGTTCCCTTGCTATGTGGAAACTCCTCTTATTCTACCAAGCTTCATCTGTGCCCGTGGTGTGTGCGTGCGCGCTCCCGACTCGGTGGCTCCTGCTGTGCTGGAAGCCTCCCTGGAGATCCCACAGTTGAGGCACGGCCTTGTGTGGCGCCATGAGCCTTCCTGCCACCGTCTTGTGGGAGGACTCGGTTTCATCTCTTCCTCTACCTAGGGCACAAGGCTTAGAGTGGCTCATGGCTTGTCCCAGGTCATCCTATGACTTGGGCCACCCCTGGGTCGACCAAGTTACAAAGAGGCATCTCTAGACCAGTGTGGGCGAAGAGCTCATCCCCCGGTCTTCTCTCCTGAGTTGGCTCAGTCTGTAGCATCAGGAGGTGGCGTTCGTGAGAGGACTCTGATGCCCTTCATGGACACATCATGGTGTTGGATGTCATTCATGTCCATAGTCCTCCAGAAAACAGACTTTGTGGGCTAATTAAACTATTCCTCTGGCCACTTGTGCTTGCTTAATATAAAGGGACGGCAGTGTGGAAAGAGGTGTTCTTTAGAGAACTCATCCTCACTTTTGAAAGTTAGCTAAGATCAGGTTTCTTGGAAAGAACAGGAAGCATAACACTGCTTTTACCACCTAAAAAGCAACCCTGGTCTGCCACGTTTGCTCCTTCGTGGTAGTAACCGCCAGCAAAGGTGCTGAAAACTAGATGTTTAAAAATAAACTTCCAAAAGGAGAAGTGAGTTCAGCGGGCCTCCACCCCTCCCACCCCACACTCCCAGCAATGCTGTGGCCTGCAGTTTCTGAAGCAGCATGGTCATTCCCCGACTGCTTGAATGCTGAACTCTCCAGCCATCACAAGCTTTATTTCAAATGCATGTTCTTTTTAGAAATGAAAGCCCTTCAGGTCCCTGGCTTCATCTGACAGGTAGACACTCCAGTCCTTTAAACAGACTGGGCCACCATAGCTAGACACAATTCTCATTCCTCTAGGTAGTCAGAAATGTAAGTGATCTGTGTGTTTCTGGGGGAAAAAAAGGCTTTCTGAATTATTTAAATGCAGATGGTGCAAAGCCAGGCCTGGCCGTTGGCAGCCACGTGCATGTCTTCAGCAGTATTTCTGTGCCCTTGCCTCACAGACACTGGCAACCAGGCGTGGAGTGGGTGGAAGGGAGCCCTGACCCTGGAGGCATCGGCCCCCAGGTTTTGCCCAGGGCCTGAGGACTGTCACCAGCCCAGTTCAGAGCCAGCCAGACCTCTGGGGCTGTGGGAGGACCCTGGTGTCACTCTGGGGCAATCTCTGTGGCTACAGAGACGGGGCCACGCTTGCGCCCTGACCAGGCAGCAGGATAGGAAGCTCTCAGATGCTCAGAGGGAAGACAAGCCCACATGTGCAGGAACCTCAGATGCTATGACAGCAATGCAGGGCCACCTGCCCTCTGGAGCCTGCACTTGGGTGAGAGCTCTCGGCCTTGGTCCGCTCCTCTGGAAAGCGTAGAGGACATTAGAGGAGATGTCCATGGGAGCCTGGGAAGCCTGCAAGGGTACTACCAGGCTGGCAGGAGAGCTGGGAAAGGACACGGGAGTGTCCATGCAAGGTCAGATGGGGGTGACTGCAGGAGAGCTGGTGGGATGGACTGGCACCTGAATACAGGTGCATGAGAAGCTAGCAGACGACACCAGGGCTGCCCTGAAGTGGAGAGGGCCAGGCAGGAACTGTCTGCAGCAGAAGGAAGAGCCGCTGTGGCCCCAAGTGCACGTCTGAGAGATTTCCTCGCCTCCTTTTCCTTGGCAAAGCGAGCTGGATGTGATAGAACACAGTCCTGCTGTTTTTTGTAAGAACATATCTTTTGCCTGGCTTCACGTCGCCGCATGTGCTTCCTGCAGCGTACAAGCTCTTGTCCCTGGGGCGTACCCCGGAGGGCCGAGTCAGAGCCCGAGCTGGAGCCAGAGCTGCCCTCGGGCAGGCTCACGCATGGGCCTCTGTGGCCAGGCGCTCTGCTCCCAGCCATCCTGTATCTGGTGGAGGCAGTGCAGTGTTCTCAGAGTCCTAACTGGGTTTGCTTTTTTGACACCTTTGGTTTGGAAGCGAGTAATAGACAGCCAAGCCGAGAAACTGAAAGAGCTCGACAAAGAGATCCGTCCCTTCCGGCAAAACTGGGAGGAGGCAGACAGCATGAAGAGCAGTGTGGAGTCCCTTCAGAACCGTGTGACCGAGCTGGAAAGCGTGGACAAAAGTGCTGGGCAGGTGGCTCGGAACACAGGTGAGGGGGGCAGGAGCACGACAGGGCGGGGGCCGGGGCTGGGGCACGGGTCCTGGGCTCTGGGTGCCTGTAGTGGCGCAGGTCTGTGGGACAAGTGCCACATCAGGCACGTCCTGCCTCAGAGCACAGCTCTCTCCAGGTGCAGATAATGTGTGTGCACAGGTGTGAGTTTCCTCAGTAGAGACAAACTTTCCTGCTGAGACTTTTCCCTCCGTGTGCAGCCCTGCATGGTGGAGAGAATGGGAGCAGGTGCTGCTGCAGGAAGCTGCAGACCCTTCCCCGGAGAGGCAGGGCAGGGGTTGTGGGGGTGGGACACACAGGACAGGCTGAGTGAGACAGGTGCAGGTGGAGCCAAAGACCTGCTAGTAGGGCTTTGGGACAGGAGCTGGCAGCCCAGGGGACAGAAGCGCCAGCTTGCTCTGCCTGTACGTCTCTGGCATCCAGAAGCAGGTGTGGGCCTTTGGCTCTGGGGACTGAAGGGCATTGTGAGTATTTGCATGGAAAGGATTAATGGTGGAAAGGAACAAGGATTATTGTGGTCTGTGTGGGGTTGGATTAAGCAGGCAGAGGACTCAGACTCGAGTCGAGGGGAGCAGCTTAACCTCTGAGAGTGCAGAGGACTCCACAGGCGCCGAGGCTGGAGGGCAGGGAACTTGAGGAGGAAGGCTGCTGCATCCTCCCAACTGGGCAGGCTTCCCATGAGGCCATGGGAGTGGGACCACTCTGTCATCGACCCTGCAGTGAAGGATCCTGTGACATGCAGGCCAGGGCCACCCACCCTGGGCATCCCATCCCAGCAGGCTGTGGCCTGACGATCTGTCCGTCCAGACGGTGCTGGGAACGTGGGTGCTGGGGTCGAGGCAGTGCTGGAGCCTGGCCTTTCCGTGAGAGCTGGGATCTTGACCCTCTCGCCCCAGAGCCCTGGTGATTTTTATATTGTTCATTTTGAATGCTGGCGTGAGCCGGGCGCAGTGGTGCATGCCTATAGTACCAGCAATACAGGAGGCAGGATTGCTCGAGCCCAGGAGCTCAAAGCCAACCTGGGCAACATAGCAGGAACTCACCTCTTTACAAAAATGCTGGTGTGGCTTTGTCTTTCCAAACGTTCTGATGTCCACATGTTTTGTTCGCCAAATCTGTCCTCGTCTGCGGCAGGCCTGCTGGAGTCCCAGCTGAGCCGGCACGACCAGATGCTGAGTGTGCACGACATCCGCCTGGCCGACATGGACCTGCGCTTCCAGGTCCTCGAGACCGCCAGCTACAACGGCGTGCTGATCTGGAAGATCCGTGACTACAAGCGGCGGAAGCAGGAGGCCGTCATGGGGAAGACCTTGTCTCTCTACAGCCAGCCCTTCTACACCGGTTACTTCGGCTACAAGATGTGTGCCAGGGTCTACCTGAATGGGGACGGGATGGGGAAGGGGACGCACTTGTCGCTCTTTTTTGTCATTATGCGTGGAGAATACGATGCTTTGCTTCCTTGGCCGTTTAAGCAGAAAGTGACGCTGATGCTGATGGATCAGGGTTCCTCTCGACGCCACTTGGGAGACGCGTTCAAGCCCGACCCCAACAGCAGCAGCTTCAAGAAGCCCACCGGGGAGATGAACATCGCCTCTGGCTGCCCAGTCTTTGTGGCTCAAACTGTTCTAGAAAACGGGACATATATTAAAGATGATACAATTTTTATTAAAGTCATAGTGGATACTTCGGATCTGCCGGATCCCTGACGAGTAACTGGGGAGGTGGATTTGGCAGAAGGTAACTCCTCTGGGGGGTTTGAACCGGTCTGTCTTCACTGAGGTCCTCGCTCAGAAAAGGACCTTGTGGAACGGAGGAAGCTGCAGAAGGCGGAGGCGGCTGGCGGGCGGAGCCACACGCAAACACACCTGACATGTTTTCTAATAGACTAGCAACACTCCCTCTGCAGAATGATTTATCCCTCGATGAGATAAATATTGCTGTCAGAGAAGGTTTTCATTTTCATTTTTAAAGATCTAGTTAATTAAGGTGGAAAACATATATGCTAAACAAAAGAAACATGATTTTTCTTCCTTAAACTTGAACACCAAAAACAAGAAAACACACCCACATGGGGGGATAGCTGGACATGTCAGCATGTTAAGTAAAAGGAAAATTTATGAAATAATAATGCAGTTCTGATATATTCATTCTAACATTCAAGAGTGCAATCTTGTTTCAAATATAGTATACTGTCTATTTTTAAGGCCTCACCTGGTCTCTGTTTTAATAATTTGTTTGTCAGAAGACCGTGAAGTACATCTAGGTCTTTTTTTGAAAGTCTCTAAATTCAGAATCATTTTTTAATTTAAAGTTCTATAAATAATTGTTATTGCAAATATTTTATTTTAAAACGTTGATAGACTGATATTTCTTGGAAGAAAATGTAAAATATCAAACACTGGTTATCACTTGTGATAGGAAAGAGAATATCCAACCTGTTGTTATTTCTCGTTAGAAATGTAAACCTTCAATATCTGTCGTAGTTAATGACACTACTTCAAAATTACTATGAAAGGAACATTGCTCATGGATGCTGTGCATCATTTTCAGATTTATAATTGTTTTCACCCTAAAATAGGGCATTAGTTGAACTTTGGAGTTCTAAGCAAAATCCTCTAGGTTTTTAAAATTCTGCCCCATGTGTTCAGACAAGCTCTCTCTCGCTGACAACACGACCTTCGGTCTCCGGTGTCCAGTGTCCAGGGGTGGGCAGGTGACCGTGCAAAGGAGGCCCCAGCAGGTGTGTTTCTTCATTCTGTCATCTTGCTGCATTCTGTTACTGATCTCTGAAAGCAACATCTTTGCATAAAGATGGTGGCATACGGTACATGTGCCTTAGATGTGACATGCTGCTTCTCGACCCTGGGTTTGCATTCAGCATAATTCTAGAAAGTGCTAGTTTAACCAGACTTTTCTCTCCGCCACTAGATCTTTGTCTCTGCAAGGGCCCTCAGACAACTCCGAACCTGCTGAGGGGAAGCCAGGCTCCACCATCGGTTCCGGAGCCTGCACTGCTTAAGTATCACAGATTCCAAATCTCTAGGCCCCACAGGTGAGCCGCCTGGCCCAAGTACGTCTTGGTCCCACCCTGGGGGAGGCAGGTGTGGAACCGACACCGGGCCTCTGCGTGTCCCCACCTGGGCTGTGGGCGCCTTCGCAGCCCGAAGCAGAACCTCTGAGCATTCCAGAGACTGCTGCTCTGGGGCCCTGCCAGGCTGACCGACAGGCCCTCCTGAACCACCACCCGGCGAGAAGGGTGGCCCGGGGCCAGCGTCCCAGCCTGCGCCTGCCCGGACGGCTTTCTCTCAACTCACTGTTTACTGTCTCTCAATGGTCCAACTGTGATGAGAAGCCTGGAGCCCTGGCCCCTGTGCCCCTTTTGCTATGCACCACGCTTCATGGTGCTCTTACCACTGATGGGTGCTACACGTGACGGGTGCTTCTTAGGCAAAACCAGTGTGTGCAAGCCACCACATCTGTGCCACTCGTCCACCAGGCGCGCCCACGATCGGCCGGCTGGGCTGCGCACTTCAGACTGCCTGCTCTGGGCTCCCCCCATGGCTGCGCGGGGACAGCTTGGTTGGTGCCCGGTGGCCCACCTGTCTCTGGTGCTGCCATCTGCCCTGGGTGTGCCTTTGCCCCAGTGCCTGCTGGAAGTGCCCTCCTGTCGCACACCCACCCCCTGTGCTCCCGTGAGTGACTCGCTGGTTCCAAGCACCTGCCGTGCCCGTTCGTGGTACAACGTTCAGCTGTTCATCTGCCTTTCCTTTCGCCTCTCCTGGGATCGCTTAGAGGACACATCAGTGTCACTGGTTCCGCCCCTGTGAGGAGTCGTGTGTCCCTGCTCAAAAAGGAAGGACTTCCTGCAGAGGCTGCGGAAACCACTGTTCCCTCAAAGGTGTCCCCAGCCTCCTCCAGGCCTGTCCCCTGTTCTGCCCTGGAGGATTACCTGGCAGTCCCTGCCTGGCCTCAGGTGGCTTTCCTGAGACCGGGGATTGATGGGAGGGATATCTCTGCGACTTCTTTCCCCTTCATAAAGAGTATGTACAGTACTAAACAAATTTAGGATAAGCAACACCTTGATCTGGTTAAAAAAAATTCTTCTGGTTTAAACTTTGGTCTGGGCGTGACCCCTGGGAACACCATCGCATGTTGCCAGGACATCTCCAATATCCCTTCCTAGGCAGATGCCCCTGGCGGGACCTGGTGGGGCCTCCTGGCCTCCCGTCCAAAGGTCCACGATGTGACTGGACAGCGGGCACTGTCCTTGAGGGCACAGCATGGCCCGTGTCATAGTTTGTCCTCGTGTGGTTGGTTGTGTTGGGCTCTGTTCTGGGCACATCTTCCTCTTGTCTACATAGGACGTGAGGGGAGCGGCCCCACACAGTGTGCCAGGCTATCCCAGCAGCGGACGTGCCTCACTCTGCTGCAGGACTCCTCGCTGCCCTCGTTTGGTGCTCACTGCCCAGGCCAGCCTGGGCCGTGCCCCTCGTGGCTGAGGCCCCGCTGCCTGTGAGGCGGCGGTTGGCCTCCCCACTTCACGGCCCGACAACAGGAGTGAGGGGTGGGTGTGTGTGATGTGTACTCAGTATGCGCGTCCTGCTTGCCAGAAGTGACACAATTCTGGCGGGACAGAACTGTTCCAGTACCTTAGAGAAACTGACACTGGGTCCTTTGTGCATGAATTACCCGATCTGCTTCCCAGTCACCATGGAACGGAACCAAAAACAACCTCCTGTTTCTACTTGCCTTGAGCAGTTTCTCTCGAGCACTGTGGCTCTGGCAGCCCGTGCAGCTTGGGTGTGCTGGGCTGCCAGGTGGAGGTGGCTCCAGAGGCTGCAGCTGGCCTGGGCCAGGCTCACGGGAGGAGCACCATCCTGCCACAGCTCCTCTGGTGACCGTGCCGAGCCACACACGAGCTGGAAGTCGGCGTGTGTGTGCCAGTGTGGGCGCCTCTTTGGCAAGGCTGGGTGGGTCAGTGAGAGGTGAGGAAGCAGGCACCCGGCTGGGTCTCACTTGGCTCTCTGAGCCTGGACAGACCCAGCCGTGCGCAGGCTGGCGCGAGCCTGAGAGGCCTTTCGGAGAGGCTGGGCCTCTCGGATTCCCAGGGCTGGAGGAATGTGCAGAATGAAATCTTGTGGATTGTTCTGAGACCTGTCAGGCGAGGAGGTGGTGCTGTTCCCCAGAGGGAAGTCTCGCTGGAGGCCCGGGGAAGGCCTGGACTTGCGGACGTGTTCGCCCCGCAGGCGGCCCATGGCGCAGCCCTGACCTATGACTCCTTGTGCCGAAGGACGGCCATGTGTCTGTCCCTTTGATGCCAAAACAGCGGAGCGGCGGGGAAGCTCTCTGCTTAAGCAGCTGCTCCCTGTCTCCCTCTCGGCCCCATCCCGTGACTTCCTTGGCCTGCGACACCAGGGAGCCATGCTGTGATGCGCCGTGGCCCCCAGCCCCTGAGTGGCTTCCTCCACCAGGCCTGCAGCCCCCATCCCCCAGGATTCCCACTGAATCGGCCCTGGGGCAGATGGCCTCCCCTTGACCGCACGTGGTCCACCTCAGGGAGGAGGGTGGTGTCCGGTGCAGGCCCACGGGGACGGCCAGCCGCATTCCCACATCGCCTCAGTCTGCTCCAGGGGTTCCTTTGCACAGAGGTGTCTGGTGGCGTCACCGTGGTGGGCCCGGTGTCCCAAAGCCAGGGGGGAACCTCTGGCAAAGGAAAGGGGGTCTGGATGGACCCTTAAGCAACAGCCACATCCTGGGGTGGCTCGTTCTCATCAGCCCTGGAGGAGCCTGGGAGTGCACTGGTCCCAGTAGCCAGGCCAGCACCTTCTTCCTCCCTCTTCGCGTGGAGGACTGGCGTGAGGACTGTCACCCTGTGCCCGGCCACAGACCCTTCTGACCCCAGCAGGGTGGCAGTGCCACGGGTCGCCTCGGGGGTTGATCGGGCGCATGGACTCCCCAGGCCCTCCTGCCCGTCCCTAGCCTGCTGCACACGCCCTCTGCTTGGAACAGCTAACGGGAGAGGGCTCGGGCAGAGGTGTAAGATACTGTTTTCTTACTTTTAGTCCAGATCTTTCCTTAGTAGGCTGCAGGAGAGCTAGGGAGACTTCTGGGAGCTGCTTCGCTTTTGCTTGTGAGATGAATGAGGGTCTGCCACCCAAAGCCACTTCTCAGCCCAAGACCATGATTCTGTCTTCCGTTTGCAATTCTCAATAGCTCTGTTTTCTCCAAAGCAGTTGTGCCCACCAGGGCCTGGGGCGGGTGCAGTCAGTGTCGGCCCGGTCATCAGTGCTGTCTTGTCCTGGCTGGTGCTGATTGTCACGGGCACTGTGGCATCAGGGAGCCGGGCCAGCGGGCGGGAGGTGAGGCTGGCAGCTCAGCAAAGGCCGGAGACACCCTGGGATGTTCCCACCAGCCTCAGGTGTGCCCTGGACGTGGTGGTGCGCGGCTGGGCCTGGGAGCGAGCAGAGCTTGCACCTTCATTCTGCTGCTGCGCTGTGTCTCGCGTCTGTCTCGTGAACTCTCGCCATGAAAAGAGACTCAAGTCCAGGACCCCTGTCCCACTCCTGGAATTAGTGGTGATTGGTTTTTATAACTTAGTCCCCTCAGACAAGTAAGATAACCTTCAACTGCAAACTAGATGACTTAATTGGAAAACACAAAGGCCGGCATTCTTCCCAAGGATTTCTGTAAGAAATGTCTGTAGAGGACGACTGGGAAGGAGTGTGACTCGCTGTAGACAGTTGCACCCCATCTGTAGACTGCGTTCTCTCTGATGGCACACCTCTGCGTTCAGTTGTTACCCCAAAACAAAGACCAAAGAAGGCCAATCTCTCATCTGACTCTCTTTTTAATCTGCCTGTGTTAAAAATCGCATCTGTGGTAGCTGCTCACTGCGAGGCCCCATCTTGACAGTCCAAGTGATTGTGACCAGTGACTCTCGTCCTGTGTTTTTCTGCTCTTCTGAGAAAAAACAATAAGACTATAAGTTATTGCTCAGCAATAATCACGTTGTTAACTTGAGTTAGCAACACGTCTGATTTTTCTGATAGCATTATTCGGTTTTATATTTTTGTTTACTGTATATTATGTGTGGTTTTATTTGGTATTTATTTGTGTTTTGAGGTCTTGCAATGTTTTGTGTTTCTGATGCTAACAACTAAAGTTTGTAAGACTGTAGAATGCGAAACTTTGAAATGCTTAACTGTCTT